TGGTGGTGGGGGTGGTGGCGGACCGAACTCCTCTGCAGGCGGTGCAGGCGCCGGGGGTCCTACAGGCCCTACGGGTCCAACGGTAGGCGGCGGTGGGGCTGGAGGCCCTACTTCAGCTCCTCCTACTGGTGGATTAACCGGTATACCACACAGCATAGTGAGCGAGCCTGACCCCCGGCCAAGCCCACCTGCACCGAGCCCTCGTTGACCTTGAACCCCCGACGTCCACTCCAGCACCACCCTCCGATCTAATTTCCCTTAGCCATTCATACACGACCTCCGACGACAAATGGCCGATTGACTAACGTGTGTCGTGCACGATGTGCCCCAAAAATCTGTCCGCTGCTTCCGAAGAACTCGAGGGAATCCATCCTTGAGAAAGAGTGAAATGAGAGAACGGGGGGTAGGCGGGAAGAAAGAACAAGAGAGAGAAAGGAAGAGAGAAAGAGAGAGAGAGAAAGAGAGAGAGAGAGAGAGAAAGAGCGAGAGAGAGAACGAGCGAAAGCGAGAAAGTGAGAGAACAAAATGGAGAGAAAGAAAATGTAAGAAAGAGAATAAATGAAAAGGAGAGAGAAAGAGAGAGAGAGAGATATATATATATATATGAAGAGAGAAAGAGAGAATAAGAAAGAGAGAGAGAGAAAGAGAGAGAGCGAGAGCGAGAGAATGAGACAAGCAAGGTTAGCCTTGTTGCTGTGCGTGCGTTTAAAACGTGTGTTCTTAAAATCATACATGTTTTATGTGTACGCATCAGCGTAAAGTATGTTTGTTATGTGTGAATGCTATGCATATATATGAGCTTGAGTCTATGTTTGCTGGACTCTTGGAATAGTGCATTTGATGTAACGTTGTGACCAAACCAAATACAGTTGGGCAGTAATAATGACAGCTTATAAGATGTGGCTAAAAGAGGAAACGGCGGGTAAGAATTTTCGTGTCGTAATTTTGTATAATTCACTTCATACTTAACTGCACTTTAGACAATGCAAATCAAGAAGAAAGAGAAAAGATGAAGAAAATAAATTTTCATTTTTTTTTTTGTTTTTTTTCCCTTTTTTTTTTTTTTATCAAAGTTTGATTAACATTCAATCGATAAAGATTGGTAATTAGTTCCTTGAACCCATGATCAGTTTTTTCTTTTCAAATGATATCTGCAGCATCGAGAAGTACATTGGCTAGTCATAGAGTACAAATCAAACATGGGTAAACATTGCAACATCTGGCACATAGAAAAGCATGAGTTGATATGAGTTTAATATAAATATCTTGTAGTTTTATCTATGATATTTTTCTTCCAGTTGAATAAGTTTAATAAGACGTAGGGAATAAAAATTATTCCAGAATTTTTTATTTTATACTTGCATTAGTTTCATTTGTAATTTTTTTGCGCTATATAATAATTTAATATTTCATGAAAACATCTAATACCATAATTAAAAAAAATCTTCCTGTTCGATATATAAATGTATACATATGCATATATATATATATACATATATAGATATTTATATATATTTATATATATATTATATGTTTTATTCTATCATACTCTTTCATTCAAAACGTGAAATATCTTTTTAGCG